TAATGTATATTAAAAGTAATTAATTTTAGTTACCTATACATTAATATTTATGAATAATTAATATTTATTTATATTTAATGGTAAAGTAATTGGAAAAATGTCAATAAATTAATTTATAAGTTAGTGATGTGTACTCAAAAAATAAGTAGCTTATAAGCTAGCAGATAGTGTCGGTCGGGTGGGGGGGCTTGAGTGCGGTCGGGGGGTTGGTGGAGCAGACCGGAAGCTTGGTTCCCCTGGTCGTGTTTGTGCTTGGTTCACTGGGCCCAGGCTGGGTCTGGGCTGAATCCCTAGTTGGGTTGGGTGATATGGAAAGCATTTCAGGGTCCTGTTGACCTTTTTTGGTTGGACCCATAGAAGGAGCCCAAGATTCTTTTTTCTAAGTTTAATTAATTGACTTGTGTAATTAGTAAATTAATTTGTTATTAATAGGAATATAATTAATTAATTTAATTATGTTTTAATCAATATATTACTTTTAAACTCTATTTTTACTAACCAATATAATTCTGTTTTAATCTTTTAATTTGATAAAGTGATTTAATAATTAAATTAAAGTGGGTCAAATGATATTCGAGCACGATAATTTCAAGTGGAGGGTTTATATGATTATGAATTGTGAAGTCGGCATGCATACGGAGTCGATAAGTTCAAATGCCTTAGAGGTGGAATAAGGTTCAGCAAGCTTATTCCAATTCAATTCAAATGAATTATTGGAGACAAATGAATTATTGGAGACAAGTTAAGATCTTTGGATTCATTGTTGACCTTAAATCACGTCGGGTTGGATTTAACTAATGTTAACTTTTTGACATAATCAACTATTGATGAGATATTATGATATACATTCTTTGACTTTACAAATCTGATAAAAAATTCAATAATTTTTATACAAATAAAATAAATATTGTAACACTAATTTTCAGCCAGTTTCCCATCTTACATAATAATATATTAGATACAACAATTGCAACAACATTATATATATATATATACAATAAAAACATTTTATAGACATGATACCAAAAAGGATACCAATGGCAAGCATCAAGTCCCAAAAACTATAACGAAATTACCCTTTGATTACAAGGTGGTATATCCTTTTATATATATTTTTTAAAAATAATATTTGACAGAAATTTAAACATCATATAATTTATATATGAACATTAATTAATAAAAAAGATTATATTAGATGATTCATTGGATCCAACGATTCTGCATCAATAAGGTGGTGGAGGATACATTCCAGGGTATGGAGAACCTGAAAACCAAGAGAATGGTACACTTAATTAGACAAGGTCCCAATTATGTTTGCGATAATAGAGTTCGACTATAATTATATCAAGAGAGCAGTATATCTAATTAGTAATTGAAATAAGTGGTTTTCAAATTAGTTAATGTTGAGATGGCATGTGTTGGCGTTATTCTTTTTCTTAATCAAACCAAATATATCCAGGAAAATAAGGTTTAGAAGGATATGAGGTATGTAGACAACTCATTTTTCCTAAAAGATACAACGACTGTTTCCATGAAAACCTCTAACTAAGATGTGTAGTATGTTCAGTGACGGATCTAGAAACTTTTATAGTTGGGAGCACACTTAGGGGTGTAGGAAAAAAAAAATCAAAACCAAATAATTCATCTGGATGAAAACGGTTTTGGGTTTTCTTTTTCGGATTAAACGGTTCAGTTAACCGAATAAAGATAACTTATTCAGGTCGATTTTTAGTTGACTTTTTACTATTTTATCGAGGTGTATTTATATTTTATATTTCGAACGATAATATCAGTGTGTGCTGCAAATAGACAAATTAACAATCAAAATATCAAGTTGGGGGCCCTTATCTTGTTCTTGTTAGGCCGCACAATAGACAAATTTACTAAACAAATCTTGTTATAGCTTTTTCTTTTAAAAATTGGTGGATTTGTTGGGGGCCTAGGACCCCTACCACCATGCACTAGATCCGCCCCTGCGTATGCTATCGCATATAATGACCAACTACGTATGGTTGGTTCCAAGTAATTTTTAAGCCAATTTTGTTGAACCATCTCTTTGTGTTTTTTTTAACTGTCCTATAGAAATAGTAATATGTAATGTAAGGCGATTTACATCTTAAGTTCTATTATAATGTAATAGAAGAATATGACTTTTTAATTAGTTTGTTCAATCTATAACGTATACTAGTTGGGTTGCTTATATATCTGTTTGTTAACGGTTTAATGGAACTCACAACTTATTCATTCAACTATAAATGAGTGTGTTGTAGTGGCTTCATATTGTAGAAAGTGACTAATAATTATTCAGTAGGTTTTTTAAGGGGAGCTTTAATTATATAGAAAACCAAGTTCTTCCCAAACCTACCCCTCCCAGTTAAAAACATGCTCCTTCCATTTATGAAAAAAACATTCTCAAACAAAAACCCTCGTGATCTATACAAACAGATTTATCCACACAGTCAACTTTACCCAATACAAAACTTAATGAAAAATCAACCAAACAGCCCTAAGTCTAAGTTTGTGCTAGTAACTTATTGTAATATTTTTATATAAGATGTATAAATTTTAAAAATCCTATTAAGTATCATATTAGAACGATTATGTGCGTTTTCTAACATGTAAACCAAATGAGAAGAAATGAAATAAATAATTGAATGAGGATGAGGAAGTTTAATTACCAGGGGGATAATGGGATCCATAAGGAGCTGGATTTGGTGGATATGGATGAGGAGGATATGGAGCTGCAGTCTGAGGTGGCGGGTACGGATAAACACCTGAATTTTGCGGGTACGATGGGTAGGGAGATGGCGGGTAAGACGCTGCCGGTGGTGGTGCAGCGTACATATATGCCGGGGGTGCACTGCCTGTTACATACGGAGGAGGAGCTGATGGACCAAAACCTTTTCCTGGTTTTTGAGCATTATCTTTTGCTGGTTTCTGTACCAAAAAACATAAAAACAAACGACAAAATTAGTTTGTTTAGTTCTTGTGAACCATCACAAGAGGTTAACATTTATGAACCAGGAATCGAACTTACATTGGCATTGGAATAATGCATTATCAAGCGAACTTCTCCGGCATGCCTGTAAAAGTTTTGAGTTTTAAGTGAATTCGAATAAATAAGTAGCAGAACTCGAATAAACTCTCATGGAGAACAAGCATTAAAAGGGGTGGAAGGAACTCAAGCTAGTCTAGCAATCAAGTCCATTATGTGTACAATGTGACATGAGATCAGAACTTTTAAAACGAGACCCGATATACTTCACATAGAGGGTTTGGTGGATAAAATATATTTTAGACCTTGATTTTAGAGTTCGACGAGTTAAAAAACGTCACATTCATATTGACTAGAAAGTTTCAAATTTACGGTTCAAAAACATATTACAAAAATCTTATGATGGATTGGATCAAAAATATCCTATTACACAAGCTTAAAAGGCATCGACACATGAAGGAAACGCTTCTAAAAGCTACATTTGCTAGCTAGAAAACCTATAAATTTACACCAACTGTATAAAAGAAACACATTTCATATTTCCATGTTGACTCGGTTATTAAAAGCAAATTTCTTAAGTAATGGGTTCAACCAGGCTAATTAAGTGTCAATATCATATAGATCAAATCTTTTTTATCTGGTTAAATTGACACCAAGTTGATTCATTCAGCAATTGAACATTAAACATATATATATTTTATCAAATAATAATATTATAATGTCATTCAAGTATATTTATTCTTATCATACCAATCTACAATAACAAATAATTTTTTTGATAAAGTTTATTATTCTAAAATTCAAAGCCCTAACAGACATATATGCTAAAAGTGGATTAAATCAAGTTGAATATGCCAATTTACTAAATCATTTACTGATTGATGGCTAATTTTTTGTAACACTGATCCAATTTAATGAGCTGAAATAGATTGGACCCGGTCAAAATGCATGACATTGCATGTTATATGAAAAGAGTGTGTAAAATATTGTTTAACAAAAACAAGATATAATAATGAGTAAAATACCAATTTGATCTTTGAGGTTTGTGATTTGTTATATGAAATTGGTCATTTGTCAATTTATTACATAATAAACCTACCCCTATACAATTTCTTCTGGATATGGTCCCTCATACTAACAATCATCTTTTATGTCCATTAACTACGATGGCACAACGGTTACTTAACTATTTTTCTCAATTATAATTATATTTTATTATTAGAAAAACATCTTCATCTTCTTCAGGTTCAAAAATTAACAAAAAAAATGTTATAGACATTATACAAACAAATTAAGCAACAAATTGGATTCATTATCACCAAAATCATTGTCTACAACTAATGTTTTTAAATCAAGCACCATAACTTAATCAGGAACAGGAGAACTCTAACTCGAAAACTAAGAACAACGAAAAATTCTAACCCAAAATCAAGAAACAGGAGATAGAGGAGAGGATCAAAACCCTAATCATAACTGCAAAACCAAAAGAGTTACAAGAAACCGGGTCTATTGAACCAAACTTAGATCGGGATTTATTTTGCATCGAACCTATCGATCCCAAATCATGTTTAATAGAACTTGGATTTGAAATGTAATCCGGATATTAAATGCTTCTTCACCGAACTCAAATCCATATCTAAAGTTCATTGTCCCGACGTAATGGAAAATTTTATGATTTTTAAAGATGACACCACATTGATTTAGATATGTGCCACCGCTTTGAGTAAATAAAACAAAAGAAAGTTTAGAGCACTGGGAAGATGCTTTTAATCGAAGAGAAGATTTCAAATTCAAGTCTTGTTGAATAAATTTTGCAATCCAATCCTAGCCTACCAATGAATTTGCCAACCCACCTAGTTTCATTGGTTCTTTATGCTTTTATTTCCTAACTATTATTAATTTTTATTTAATTTCAAATTACGAATTATCCACTTCATCTTAGGCGAAAGGATGGGGTTTCAACAAGAACCATCTAAGGCAAGAGGATGGGGTATCAACAAGGAGGGAGGAGGGTTCCAATAATTGAGAGAGATAAGAGGGAGAAAAGGTTCTGACGATCAACAAACAACGTTTTTGGTAGTGAGAGTGAGGGTGTATTTAAGGATTTTTTTGTTTTTATTAGATTACAAGTAAATTATGCATAAGTACAACTTATTAAAGCTCCATGTTTAAATTCGTGTAACTAATTGCGGATAAACTTCTCATTTTAAAATATAAAAGATCTAAAATATAATTAGGATAATTATCGAGTTCTAACAAAATAATTAATTATTATTTTTATAAAAAATTATATTAGTAAACCAAATATAAATTATTTCGTTATTGAATATAAATTAAATTATAATAAAAAATTAAATTAAAAATTTACACAAAATATATGAATTTTAAATAGTTAATCTGATACTAATCTCGATATATTTTTGTCAAATATGATATCATCAGATTTATATTTCATACAAAAATAAAAATAACATCACTTTTTAAAAATCAAATAAGACCATACTATAACATCAACTGAGATAATGAATAAAATGAAATATTAAAATCAAGATGTATATCGCTGCATTGTATGAGTACCTTTCTAATAAAAATAAATGATAGAATAGTCAATTTACCCTCTTAATTCTTAATTAATGGAGAAGATATACGAAAATTAATGTGAAAGACTAAACCTAAAATAAACTGTTTTTTATGTAATAAATGAGGATAAAAAACCAAATCGTTAATAAAACATGAACATGATAGACCAAATCCTAATTTAATCTAGAATAATTTTGTAGACCAAATCAGTACCATCGATTTAGTAATAATGATAATAACAACAATGGCATTGGACAAATAAAATAATTATATAACAATATAAAATAAGAGGGCAAGCGTGAAGCTTGAAATCGTCGGTTTAAACCAAATCACCATCAAATCCATCGTTAATGATGCATTAAAACACTAACCTGCCAGTTTTGCTCTGTAATGGCCAGCTGCTATCATCAAATCCTTGAGAAAGAGCCTTTGTCAATGGAACCCTGCTACCAAAACTTGTCAGATTGCTTGAAACAGAGCATCATTAAAACGATAATGGAACACCAAAAACGAGCACAAAAATGATAAAAGAACAAGAATAAATTTACCTTCCGTTACCGATCAAGTCATCGTGTGTGAGGGTATTGCTATTCCAAACCGTAATGTTCAAATCTCTTAGTCCTTCAACTAGGCTATACACGAATTTTTCTTGGAACGTAGGGTTCTTCCCTCCATCTATTCTCATTTCAAAATTAATCAACCACAAATAAGACAATCAACAGATCGTATGCATATATACAAGCAGAGAGGATGCGAGATGTGACCTTTACAGGTACGGGTGGAAGATCTGATGCTACCGTATTCAACACAAACGTAAGGATCTTGCCGTGAGATCCATTCCGTATCTTTCAGATTATTGCAGCTAACAACTAAATTTCCATATGGAGAAACGAAATTAGGTCATGAATCTAAACACAATCGCATATACAATACGTCACTCAAAAGGGGGAAAATCATCGTTCCAGTTTAGTCGAACAGAGTTTTCACAAATCAAAATCAATCGACTACAGTCACCAACATTTTTCATGATGTTTAACGTTTGTGGATTCATATAGAGTGGACAGAAACTAAAAAATTAGGAAGAAAATGGACGTACCAGTGACTTCAAGGAGACTGCCATGGATGCTGTGACTCGTCATTAGAGAATGGTGATCAGCTGAGGGTGAAATCGACGGGTGATTATACATGGAAAACTGAAGTTGAGTTGAGAGCACAATGTATGCAATTCCTTTTATACAATTCAAATATGTGTTGACTTTATGCCATTTGAACAATCAAACGCGTTTGTCATAATTCTTCATTACCATTTAACAACTTGCTGATTTTTTAAGATGATGAGACCTGGTGATCATCGAAAAGAGTTGGTTTACTATTTGAGATATATTAATACATCTCATCTGTAAATCTTACTTTCAAATGAAATATTATAAGTATTATTTAGGGGGTGTTTGGTAGGGGTTCTCAAAAACCCGACTAAGCCGATCAACCCAACCCAACGCGAAATAACTCAACCCGAAGTAACCCGATGTCTAATCGAGTTGTAAAATTTTCAAACATTATTTGAACCCAACCCAACTCGATGAACCCGATATCCTTTTATTTCTTGGATTTAATATGATTGTTAAATTTATATTAATATATACATTAGACAATTACACTATCATGTATGCTTTTCATATACACATATTTTCAATCTGTTCATATCTCTATATAACTCATTCATATATATGTTCAATAACTGTGAACATATATATGTAAATTGAGAAAATTAACTGAATGTGATATACGTAAGAAATATGGATAAGTTGTATCAAATGGTTGATGATGAAAAAGAAATTATGAGTAAAGAAATAACATATTCAAGATTTGAAGAATATTTTGTCAAGATTTGAAGAATATTTTGATATACCAAAGTATTAACCCGACCAACCCGAATAACTCGACCAACCCAAATAACCCGACCAACCTGTATGGGTTGGGTTGGGTTAACATTTTTCCAAACCGCAAGCATTGGGTTGGGTTGTTCAAATGTGTTCAACCCGATCAATCCAACCCATGAGCACCTTTAGTGTTTGGGATCGCTTATTTAAAACAACTTATGTTTCTTTTATAAAAATGCTTATCAACTTATGTAGTAGCAAATCGGAGTTCTATAAAAAGTGTTTGAATTAGCTTATTACGGGTACCACACGAGGATAAGCTGGTAAAATAGATGAGATGCCCTTTGTTTTCTCATTTAAACACTAAAAACTCATTATCACCGGTACCATACCGAAATAAGTTAATAAGTTAGAAGAGAGTAACTTATCAAAAGCTTCTTATTACCGGTGTCAAACCGATACAAGTATTTCACTTTTTTTCTCTATCCAAACATTATAAACTCCCTATTACCGGTACCATACATGAATAAGTTAATAAACAATTTAAATAAGCAATGCCAAACACCCCCTTAGTTTGTTTGATGTTAATTGATATATTTTATCACATGTAATACTAAATGAAAGACGTAGACGATCTTTGGCATGTCATAAGTTGCGGACCAAGTCGCTCGTACACCACTAAGCTTCTCACGTGTATTATCATACGTGTAAGAATGTTGTTGATGTGATACCATAATCTATCACGTGTTATAGTAAATCAGAGACGTAATCTATCACGTGTAAGGATGTTGTTCGCACCACCCAATACCCTTATATGTATTATCACATGTGATAACGGTATAATAACGTTTTCATAAAATCAAGGTGTTTTCGTTTGAACCTTCACCTATATATATATATATATATATATATATATATTATAGTATTAATAGGAGGAATGGAAAGCATAATATGAAGCCAAGCATATGAGAAGACTGGTCAAGTAGCTGACTTTAGAGCACTGATTGTTTCCATAGTTGACTTTCTTTGAGTCTATCGTGAATCATGAAATTTACAATATCTTTTTTCTTGTTAAAATTGAATTATTTTTCATTTCATTTTAAGCATTTTTGATTTTTGATTTTTGATTTCTGTCCCTCGAAATCATAAAAATATATTGGTGGTCAATAAATTGTGTTTCAGAGCCCAACCTTCCCTTAATATCGTTAGAGACAGCTCCGTTAAGTCAGTCACATGAGAGGCAATTTGGTACTCAATTCAAGTCAAGAACATTACCCATCTTGAATGATTTAGGGGCCGTTTATCAAACACTTATCCGGTGAGTGTTTACCGGTAAAATTGAACACTATTATTTACTTACCGGGTAAGATTTTAGTCCACCAAAACGACATTGTATGCAACAATTTACTCAGTAATCGCTTACCATGGTAAGAGCCGTTGCCCTCACTTACCGGGTAAGACTATGGGTTCTTGTCTCGCTCTTACCGGATAAGATTATTGCAGTAAGGTAATATAACTTGATCAACGGTCCAAAAAACGTGTTTTCGATTTTTAGTTTTTTTCTAATACTTTTGAACATAACAATATTAATTTTGGTATATTTCTTTAATTTGATTAGAGGCGATTAACCTTGAAATTTTGTACAATCGATCTTGAACCAAATCTTATTTTGGTCAACACTAATCTACGGTTAATCTTGGTTTGTGGTGCGGTTTTGATTCGATGGTTGTTTTTAACATTTTACTCATCTATGCATTCTAAGAAGCTTCATTTTTTTTTGTCGGAGTGGTGCGGAGGGCAAGTGTTCGATGGGTAATACCCGCTTTGTTGCAGTCAACGGTGTACCCTTTTAATCTTTGAACGTTTTCTTCGTCCCCTCTCGCTTCACGTACGTTTGTTTTCTTTTTGTTTATTCGTGCTTTGGACTTTGTCCCTAAGATTGTTTCTATGAGGTTTATGGTTGATTTTTTATTTCTAGTAGAATCCCTTTTTTGAGTCCTCTTGTACGTTGCTTTTTTTTTCTTTCTATAAATGTCTCATTTTCTATATAGGGAAAGGTTCAAACGAAAACCCTTGTGATTTGCGAAAACACGAGAACACCCTATTAACCTCATATTGTGATAACAATAAAAATTAAAAAAAAAATTAAGTTAAAAATGAAATTAGAACAATTCAAAAAATATTGAGAGGCAAAAGGGTAATATTGGAATTCAAAGTGATAAAATTTTAAAAACACGATCACACTAAACCCAATAATTTGGATAACATAATGGTTATCGCTTATTTCAACACGATTTGGTGTGATTTGGGTGTGATTTGGATGTCATATGGGTGTGATAATTATATGATAATCATGTGATTATCACACAATTATCAAGGATTCCACTCGGCTTGGGTTAACTTAGGAAGTTGACTACCGATTTGGTGTGATATGAGTGTGATAATCATGTGATATCACTAT